TTTACATTTGTCACATATAGGAGAGACACTATGAAACAGCTTATTAAGTTTGGTTTTAGAAAAGTGCAAATGATGGATAACCTTGAATTGAATAAGTTGCAATCTGGAGTTAATGGAACATGTTTTGATCCTTGACAGACTCAAATTCCACATCTCATCTGAAATTTCAACTAGTGTATCAGAAGCCCAGGCCTCTTTTATATGATTGGTAGAAGGAGATGAACTGAAAAGATTAACAAAGTGAGAGATTAGCTTTCTAGAAGTGGGGGGCTTTTTTATAAGCTCGAAGAAACTATGTTGCACTGATATGGTTTCAAAGTGAGGGAAATTTTGTCTGACAAAATTGCGAACTTGCAGGTACCTGAAAAAGTGGCTAGAAGGAAGACGAAATTTGGATTGGAGTTGCGTGAAGGAAGCAAAGCTGTTATCGATGTATAAATCCTTGACAACAGCTATGCTTCTATCTAACCAGTGCTTGAAAACTACATCCAAATTCCCTGGCTTGAACGCTGCATTCTGAAAGATGGGGGCATAAATGGAGAAATCAGATTCAGAACAGTCTTTATCTGCTTCAGAATCCTAAATGATTTTTTAAAGATAAAATTATCCTTTAGCAACTGAAAGGGGAAAGAGAAATTGGAGAACACTACAGTGGAAAGAGAGGAAGTAGTAAGTGCTATGGACGCAAGGTTTTCATTCAGTGGGCAATTGGGCAATAATGAGTCGACCTTTTCACCCTTCGGATAAACATGACTCCAAAAAACCCAGGTTCTAGAATTACAAGCCCAGTAATAATGACGGAAATCAGGAAAGCCAAGGCCACCCTCAGCAGTAGGTTTCTGTAGGTGAGACTTAGAAATTTGAGGGTGTTTACCGGCCCAGATAAAAGGAATTATAAGGGAATCTATCATCTTAAAAAAAGAAGCAGTAAGCACATTCCAAATCAGATTTGAACAAACTATGGGTGGCTATTTGATTAGCTTCTGACTGAATGAGCTGAGGAGGATGGACCTCCACCTGCTTTAATACATCATAACTCCAACAACAGATTGTTGAGATTAATCCGGCAGAAAAAAGAGATGTTTTCAGAACATCTGAGCAAAAGTCGGATTGCCTTTCAATCTATTTCCATTTTTGTGATTATTAATAAAATTTTCAATACAACTTTATTTTTTTCAATATATTCTGATATATTCACATTATTTTATATTATTGTTTTATGTTCTTTTAGATTGACATGACTGCAATGTACTTTTATTTTGTTTCCTGATGTACAGCACTCTGAGTTGTCTTGCTACTGAAATGTTTACTATAAATAAATAAGCTTTGCCTAAACATACAACCAGAGACACAATGGATGAGCTACACTAAAGAAATTTGTAAACTGACTTCTTTCCACCTAATGTTATATCAAATCTCAGATTTTTGGTTTAAATGAAAGATGAAAGATGTGAATTTAATAAACACTAAATCTAACCCTGGTCTGGGGTGTAACCTTGCTTCCTCCCACAGTCCAAACACGTCTGTTTTGTTAGTTACTCTTTCTAAGTTACACTCAGAGTAGATGCCCATGGTTGTTTGTCTTGTGTTCCTCTATGTTGCCCAGGAGACCAGTCCAAGGTGTCTCTCCCGCTGTCTGCTGGAGACTGACACCAGATTTTTATATAAAGAATGAATGGACTGTAATATTCTTAAGGTAGAATCAAATCATTAGTTTAAAATTTGTTTCCAAAATTGTGATTCTGTTTGGTTTATATAACAAAAGCACATTTCTTCACTTTGGTTGCTCTTCAGTTTTTTCTTTCATTCAGTTTTAAGGCTTTAGAAAGCCTGATGTCTTTTCACTTTGAATCAACAAGTACTGTCAAGTTAAATTAATTTTAAAACTCTTCCCTTGATTTTAACTTTTTAGTAAAACCTGCAAAGATTTCCTTCCTTTAAGGAAAAGCCGCAAAAAGTGTACAGTTTGAAATAAAACCTAATTTAGAGAGAAGAGGAAAAAGTTTACCTGTTTGTTGTCCATCTTGTTTGCTCAGACTGGGAAGTAGCAGCAACAGAAAACACACGATGCTCATTTCTAACCTCCTTATCTGCTCCCAGGCATTGGGATCTGTACCATGGAACATCTGCAGGGATTGTTAGAATAACACCTATAGCAGAATAATTTCACCCAGCAGGATCCAGCTTGTGGACTGAGTCAAACTAAAGAAGTAAACGTGTCGGGTTCTTGACATCATCAGCATTTCCTGGAGAAACAGCCAAGCAGCCACACTGTGGAAATCCATGTGACTCAGTGCCTGTTGTGAAATCCAACGGGGATTTTAAGGCAGGAAATGGAGCAGCTGCATTCCAGTAACTGTAAGTCAGAGTGGCCAGATCAGACATGCAACCAGAGCTGGGGGAGAATTAATGACTTCAGTAGAAGCAACAGCATCAGGTTTAATGGAGGCTGCTGGAAAAAAACAAACAGAAAGTTGAATTCCTGGGAAAGAGACTATTAGTTTGTGGTCTATTAGGGGGTGTCTGTTTATGCTCTGACATGCCCTGACACTTAAAGCTTAAATAGAACAAGTTTGTATATCCGAGGTCATTGACACCTCTGTTTAAAAGAAGGTTTGATAAAAAAATAACATGGGAGTGATTTGTTGATTCGACAGTTCATCCAGGATGCAGCTTTCAATTCAACTTCCTTTATTGACTTTTTACTACAAAAGGATAGGGAACCACCCCCCACACCCCCACCCCGAAAAAATAAAACCATCAGGTCACTATCAGGTCACCATCAGGTCACTATCAGGTCACTAAAAGGATACATTTCACACATAAAAAGGTAGAGAAAGATAAAGACTGAAAAACAAATGAATATTTAAAATCCGTTGATAGATGATAAAAAAAACCTTGTGGCTAATTTGCCTCCATGCATGACAAGCAGGACTAACGCCACCATTTGGCAGCAGGAAAGGTAACAAACATACACTATATTTTAAAATACTTTTTCTGATTCTTATCTCATAGTGAAGCTGCACTGTAAAAAAAGTCAGTAAAAAATACATCAAATAGCAACATTAAAAGACCATGAAACCAGAAGCGGTCCTTTACTTCATGAAAAATATTAAATAACTGTTAATCAAGTGACTGGAAAAAACATTGAATATTACTCTAAAAGAATATAAAACTCAGAGTGATTTACTGTGACGCTTAATAAATATGCTTAAATTATAAAAGAATTTGCCGTACAGATAAAAATTTCCTTAATTTTTACAGCATTATTTGAATGAAACTGCAGCTTACTGAGTTCTGCTCATTAACACTTACAGGAAATACTTGTTAAAGTTGAATTTTTACAGAAGCAAAATGGTTAAAAATATAGTCCATTGTAAAAAATAACAACTTATTATACAAATGCCAAAATATAAGCATTGCTCCTTCTTATCTGTCTGAGCTGTTACATTCTTATACACCCTCCCGTTCCCTCAGATCAGCTGATCAGTTGCTTCTGAGGGTCCCAAAGACAAAATGCAAGCTCAGAGGAGACCGTGCTTTTTCTGTGGCAGCTCCTAAGCTGTGGAATGATCTGCCTCTGAGCATAAGACAGGCCTCTTCTCTTGCTGCTTTTAAGTCCCTTCTTAAGACTCATCTTTTTTCCTTGGCTTTTGGCACAATTTGAGACGTTTTACTTTGTTTTATTCTTTTTGTATACTAATATGTATTTTACACTCGTTTTTTCTCTATTTTATAATTTTATTGTATTTTATGATTGTGTACAGCACTTTGGTCCTGTTCGGTGTATAAAGTGCTTCATAAATAAAGTTGGTATGGTATGGTATGGTAAAGACAAAAACATTTTAATTAACTTTTATTATAGGAAACATTTAATATCCACTAATGACAAGATATTAAAATAACAAAATTGCACACTTTTTTTTAAACGCTTCTTATTTTTCTGTTTCCTTTTTAATAGACAGATAAAACAGTGTATCATTTAAGAATGAAGTAAATTCAAAGTTGAAAATTAGTTCTTAAAACTGTAAATGTAGATAACAATATGCAAAACTGCATTTAAATGCTTGTAAAATAGTTTTATCCACTTGTCTTTGATCAAGGAAAATCATATTTTCCCATATTTTCTCATATTTTTTCAAAGCTATTATTCAATGAATAATCTTACTGAGTCTTTCCACCAATAGGGTGACGCGCTGCTAAGCTGTGCGCTGACTGATTGTTTGCTCACAGAAAGAAACAGACAGCCACCATCATGTCTTCACCCCCTAATTGACTGACCCTGAGCTCCCGCCACCAACCGCCATTGCTCTGCTTAAAATTAATATGTGAGGAGTACACCCGACCAGTTTGAGCATTTTAGATGTTAATTAAGTTGTTTCTTGGAGTTTGCTAGGTTTGTTGACTAGCTTTATGAGCTTTATAGACAGTTCATTAGTAAAGTTTTGACTGAGCATTTCATTTTTAGGAATCTATTTCTGAGTGTGTGTGAAGTTAGCTAAGTTGACGACATGTTGAGGTGTAATTTCTGTGAAAAGGAGGAGCAGTCATTCAGGTGCTTTACTGCAGCTAGCTTCATAGTAATGAGCCACGATGTGTTTCTAACTGCATTGAAACTGACTGCAAGCAAACATTTAGTAGAGGTAGAGAACTTAAGGCACATTTTTTTATCTAAGACATGCTGTTCCTACCAATATCACGGTTTTTAGGGCAGTTACCTCTTTCAAATGTGCAATGACTATGTGCCACACCAGAGTCAAGGTGCTTGAGAGCTAATAGCTCTGAGGAGCCATTTTGTGGTTACTTGACCAGTTATTTTACACATTTGTCAGCTGGCTGAATCTTATTTTCTTTCTTTTTGACTTAAAGTTAGTCTTGCTCCTGAAAGTTTCCAACCCTGAGTTTAAACAACATCAAGCAGTCAATTCAAATGCTTCATCTCTCTAAGGACGTGGTGACATTTTTAGTGGTATGAAAGCCAAAAATTAGTTTTTACTTATCTTTTCAAACAACTTGATGAAAAAAAAATGTTTTTTGTCTTTTTGCCTTCCAGCTGTGCTGCTGTGAACAGCATCAGAAGGAAGGAATGAGAAGCAAACCTTTCTCAAGGAGATGACAGATGAAAACCTACAGGAAAACGGAAAACAACCTCGGCAGGAAATTCTTCCGGTATGTTTCAGTATTATTATTTCTGCTCTATGATGGTCAGTTAACAAATTCAGTTTTTATGTTGCACATCAGGGTTTATACCTACTTGTAACATCGGGTTAAACTTCTCAAATGACACTTTGGACAGAAGCAGTTTTGTAATATCATTTAAAATAGTTGATGAAATCCAGCATGCTCTGAAATGCCTCCATGCTTAAACACAAAACACCATTAATTAATTTAAACTGATGTTCCACATAAACCTGGGAATCTGTTTGATTAGCTGCTTTCTAAAGCAACCAGATACATGACACAGAAATACCAATGAAATAAAAACAGGTGGTTTCAGAGAGGCGTGAAATCCATTTATGTTAAGAAAGAAAAACCAACCTTTTTTTTTTTTTTTTTTTTTTTTTTTTTTTTTGGGGGGGGGATTGGCATGTCTTTTTTCTCAGGGGGCGGGCGGGCCTGCTGGGTGGGGGTCCTGCTGGCGGCGCGCCGCTGGTGTGTGGTGGTCCGGGCGGCTCCGGCGGGGGTGGTGTTTGGGGGCCGGTGTGGACGGGCGCATGAACACCTCACTATATGTCAGACTCTATAACCTGCCCATGCCATTTACACTGCTCTATTTGCACACTGCTCTATTTGCACTATTATATAGCACTAAGATGCTATTTTACTTTTTATATTTTATATCCATATTTTTATCTTAAGTGTATATATTAGTCTATTTTATTGCATGCCTTATAGCCAGTGTTTTAGATATTTTTATAATTTTATTTACCTATTCCATGTTATATGTTTCATGTTGCACGATTGTACCATAAAAAATTCATAGTGAACTCCTTCACTAACAATGGCAATAAACCTGATTCTGATTCATATTAAATTGCTCCAGTGCTTTAATCAGTCAACCTGCATGATTAGAATATATTTTTAATCATACAAATGCATCAAGTTATCAGGAATCCAGATGAATGAATTTTGTTGATTCTGTTGAGACCATAGTCAAAAGTTTTCCTTTGAAATGTAACAACATACCTGCCATTAGTTCAGAATTGTTAATTGAGCCCCCACTAAATCCAACATCTGTATCCATATCCGATGTGGAAAAGGCAATTAAACAGCTTAAGTATTCAAGAGCAAAAGACGTGTATGGGATGGACACACACATGTTAAAACGAATAGGTCAGTCAATTATGGGTCCACTAAC